ACAGGATCGAACTCTTCCCAGAAAGTGGACTCAAGACCTGCCTCCGTTGGCCCGTCTGAACTAGTCCAATCGGAGGCCAACCCGTCCCGGATCTGATCGATTTTGTCATGCAGGTAACACCCAAATTCCTCTGCCCGACCCTGCAGGGGGGCGTCCCGGACCCTCTGATGAAGGAGGGAGCGGGACACCCTAAACAGGGTGGCAGGTCGGTTACCTGCAGACGCGATAAGAGCGGAGAAATAATTTCGTTTTGCCGCTCTTTCCTGTTTCAACAACCTGCCTCATTCAATGCCTAAAGAACCGAAGATATAACACAGGCATTAACCAGCACCACAGGGGCCTCCCCAAAATGGCTAAATTGGGAAGGCTCAACGAGTTCGATATTACTCATCCGGAACAGTGGAGCTCATATGTCTTCCGAGTAGACAACTATCTCCAGGCTAACCAGATCACAGACGATGGCCTGAAGGCGGCAACCTTACTATGTGTCTGTGGACAAGCCATGTTTGATATCGCTGAAAACCTGATAGCACCAGCAAGTATAGAGACTGTGGCCTATGCAGTCCTCAAGAAAAAATTGAGGGAACATTTTGAGCTGAAACTCTCAGTAATCGCCTGGTGCCATGCATTTGAGCAACGTGAGCAGAGATCCGGGGAATCTGCAGCAGAGTTTGTGGCAGCCCTTTGCCAAGCTTCGTGCCAATGTGAGTTCCTTGACCTGGAAGACTGTCTCAGAGACAGGCTCATTTGCGGCCTGCATAATAGAGAATTACAGCAGCACCTATTCGCCAGGGAGAAAGAAACTGACTTTCCAAGACACATTGAAGGAAGTCATCACGGAAGAGGCTGCCGGAGGGGCAATGAAGACTCTCCGGACACCTAAAACACACACCAGCCCAACAGCGATCCACCAAGAGACCGCAGAAGGCTCGGGGAAGGCCAGTGAGAGTGAAGAAATCGATTGTTTGCAGAGAGAGCCACCCAGACGGCCACGCTTCACAGAGCAAGCAACTTCCCCACAGAGCTGCGCAAACTCTTGAGTAGTTCTTAAATTGCCCATTTAAGTGGAGGATGGATCAGAGATCAGTATGCTGCAGAGAATGCATGAATGAGAAACAAATAATAGCATGTTAACATGATTAGATGAAGAAAAGCAGTTAAATGTGAAAGTTCTCTGTATGTACAGTACTTTAAAGTAGGTAATATTGTAACTAGATTTGTGAGGGCTGCAAAAAAAATTGATCTTTGCCCAGTGGAGAAAAGCTGGTTTGTATATCTGACATTTTAATGTCCCCTCTGCTTTTACCCAAAAAGGAAGTAAGCCAAACTTGAGAAAGGATCATACAAACTAATAAATCAAAGGAAGTGTACCATTTTCAACAGCATGCCTTTTGAATGGGGGCTGGACTCCAAAAAGTGGGTGGGACCAAAACAAAACCTAAATATGTACAGTTAATATTGTGTAGTGGGCTTCAGTAGGCAAGGAGCAGACAAGCAGTATTTCATGCTTAATTATGGTAATTGGGGAGTGGTTGTAAAGAATGATGTCAAGTGATTGGCACTTAGTGATGTCAGTTTTGGCAGTCCCTGGTTGCCATCATTTTTTTGTGTAATATATTTTATTGATTTTTTAAAAAAACATAAATCACAATAATTGGTGAACAGTGTGTTGTCTGGGTTACATTTGTAAAACAATCATTAACAATTGGTTTCTATAATCCATAATCCACATAATAGTTTTAGTTGATTTCCTCTTTTCCCAAAATATCCTCTTTTGCAAATATTGAGTTAATACAATTCTTATTGTTTTGATAGATAACAATTAAATATATAATTTTTCCCAATATTCCTAAAAAAAATAATCACATCAATATAATATTTCTTTTCTATCCAATCATTCTGGTTGCCTTATCATAGATCCTGTTACAGTCCTTATTTTAATTTGTTTCTCCCACCAAATTCTAGGTATTCTTACTGGTTAAGATTTTCTCAAAAATTAATTACATTTAAAAATTTAACTATATTTTTACATACGAATCATCTCACACTTTTACATTTCTTAAGGAATAGATAAAACAATAAAAAAGAAAGGAGAGCAAAAGTAAAGAAACATAGAAAATAACATAGTACTTAAAATATATATCCCTCCTAAGCTAATATATATTTATTTCCTAAATTTCTTACTCTTTTTAACCATAATTAAATATATGTTTAATCTTTAAACATTCCATTTAATACATCTAGTCATCTAGTCCTTTAACTGTTCCTTTTTTTATCCATTATAATTTTCTTAAATTCAATCACATTTAAGTATCTAAAAAGCATGATGTCAACGCTGCAAATACTGTATATTCTTGCTTTGACAATATGCAGAACTGTCTGGTATTTATATAGTTAAATCAGGCAACAGTGAAAGCCGGGAAAAAGAAACGGGAAGTAAATCATGTCGTCCAAGTTAATTGGAAGATGTGAACCATGACCCCAAAATAAGGGAGGGAAAAATGCTTAATATGTATGTGTAACGGAAAAGGATCAGATCTAAGCATTTTTCCACCATGCTGTACTGACGTCTCTGTAACCTTAATAAATGCTTTTAGGAAAAGATATGCCTGAAAGTCCTTTTAAGTGTTT